TAGCAATGGAATTAATAAATAAGCAAAGCAGATATTCAATGTAGTCAAATAAAATCTTGATAGATTTTCCATATGTTCAGTCTCATGACTTCACCAGCAATTATACAGAACAGCCAGGAGGATGATCAGTTTTCCTAGGAAAAAGTTGTAATAAATAATTCAAAACCTTTTACCTTAGGCAAGAATGAACAATTCAGGATTTTCATACAACATCCAAAATCATTTTTTACCTCATAGAACAAGTGGTTCCTTAAAGTATTGCCCAATTTTGGGGAATTAGAAAGATGATTTTTCACATTTGAGTTTCCCTTAAAAATAAAATCTCCCCAAATTGGGCTGGAGAGATTTATGGACAAGCACTTGTTTTGTCCCTTTACACATTTATCCTCCTACCACTAGTACTGCATAGGGTCAAAAACTTTGGCTTTCCCCTTTGGGTAATAACATTGCCAGAAGAAAGAATAGAGGAGAAGAGAGTGGAGGGAAGGGAAGGGAAGGGAAGGGAGGGGGAAAGGACAGGAGGGGACAGGAGAGAAGAGAAGGTATATGAATATATATGTTTATATAAACATAACAGAATAGATCTGAGTCTAGTAGGGATAGTCTGGGGAAAATGCCATGTACTGAATGTGCCTGCTGTTTGTCCTTCCATTAGATCTTTCAGCTTTTCCAATAAGAATAATAGAGTAAGACTACTAATAAGAAAGGACTGGAAGAAGAATTCTATGAGTCTCTTTGATCCTTCTCCTGTCATTCATATTTAGTTTTATTTATTTATTATTAAACTTCTATGCCATCCATCTCACCAAGGATATGCTAGGCGGGTTAAGCCTCTCATCTTCCTTTCCCAACAGGTATAAAAAATAGGATTGCCAAAAGCAGTATCTCTGCTTGCTTTATAACCTTGTGGATTTATAAGGAAGATTTTAAGATTTTCACATTCAGTTGGTTTTTATGTATGTTGATGAACATAAATAAAATATGGGCTTTATTTAGGGTATCTGATCTAAACATCCTGGGACAGAGAAAACATATTCAGTCTAACTGAGATGACACCTATCTACTCTTCATATTGTTTCATTTCTAGATCCTCTGACCCTATTCCAAGTTTCCCTAAACTTTATAAATTGTGATGCTCAAGACGTATTGCAGTAATCGAAATGCAATCTGATCAGCATATATGTATTGGAACTATTACTTCCTATGAATCAGGACATAAAGGTTAATGCAGCCCAAGAATTTGTTGACCTTAGCAGTTGTTGCATCACATGGCTTGCTCATATTGAATGCTTGAATCCCTACATCTTTCTCACACTCAGTGCTCCCCTGCCAGGTCTCCCCTGTCTATACAGTATGCATATCTATGATTTTTCCTGCCTAGATGCAGAACATTAATTTCTAACTACTGAACATCACCCTGTTGAATACGACTCAGTATTTTATTCAGTTATTTTGAATTGTGATTTTGTCACAAGTAATATCTCCCAATACCCCCACCCAACTTGGTGTTATCTGCACATTATCTCTCTTCTGTTCCATCCTTTAGGCTATTTATAAAAGATTAATTAGCACATAGCCAAAGACAGAAACTCTATTCAATCTTTCCCTTCAGAAAACTGCAGTGTGGTCTAGTTTATTGGGTTGGGGTTTTTTTTGTCCGTACATGCCACCTTACCCCTCTATCAAAAATAGCTCAACTCTTTCAGAAAAGCAGGATGTATGACAGAAATCATAGAAACTGCCCTTCTGAATCAGCAAAAATATTTACTTTTCACATTAATGTCCTTGTGGGCGACCCCAAGGGGGAGGGCCTTCTCTGTGGGAGCTCCCACCCTCTGGAATGAACTGCCCCCAGAGATCAGGGTTATCCCTGATCTCCCTTCCTTTCGCCGCGCCCTCAAGACTTGGTTATTCCAGCTTGCAGGACTGGCCTAGGGTAATTTTTAGGGGGGTTTTAATTATATTTTAAATTCGACAAATATTTAATAT